CAATCCGAAGCCAGAAATCCGAAGATCCGCGCCCTCAACCCCAAGCAATGCGGTTTAGGAAGTAGGGTTTTGGGTTTGGGGTTGAGGGTTGAGGGTACCCTAAACCCTAAACCCTAAACCCTAAACCCTAAACCCTAAACCCTAAACCCTAAACCCTGAGTTACTGAACACAGTATCAGGCTGGGGCCTGGTGGTCAGACTCTTGGGGGCTTCTTGGGGCTTAGGGCTGCACAGGCGGCCTCTTAGGGTTGGAGGCGGTTTTGGAATTTAGAGTTTTAGGGTCTAGGGCTTAGGGCTTAGGGCTTAGGGTTTAGAGTCTAGGGTTAGGGCTTTGGGTTTTGAATTTGGAGTTTTGGATTTTCGGTTTTGGGTTTTGGGTTTTGCGTTTTGGGTTTAAGGTTTTGGGTTTGGGGTTTGGGGTTTGGGTTTTGGGTTTTGTTCTTTTGGGTTTGGGCTGCTTCGGGCAAGGCCCCCCAAGGGTGCTTAGGGGTTGAGGGTGTATCTCAGATTCGCTACACGGTCCCTTAATCTTATTGTTGGGTAGTAGGGAATGGGGGAATGAGGTACCCTATATGATCCCTTGAAGGGTGTATATAGGGTATTTAGGTTACTCATTCCCTCAAACCTGGTCCCTTGGTTCTTTACAGGGTATAGGTAAGGGGCTTGTGAGGGTTTCCCAAGTACGGGCCCATATTCAGGGACCATGTAACGACCCTGAAAGTTCAGGCGTTTCGGTTTTAGGGCTTAGGGCTTAGGGTTTGGGGTTTGGGGTTGGGGTTTGGGGTTTGGGGTTTGGAGTTTGCGGTTTGGGGTTTGGGGTTTGGGGTTTGGGGTTTAGGATTAGATTTCTGGGATCGGATGGGCGAACGGGCTTTCCCCAGGGCTTCACCTCGCGCTTTAGGTTCCCCGCCCTGAACCCTTAACCCTAAACCCCAAACCCTGACATACCCGACCCACGGCTGGGGAGGGTTAATGGCCTAGGGGGGTGTTTAGGGTGCGGATCCAGGAAATCTGAAGTTGCATGGTTGAGCTGGTTGCGTTGGACCCTGGGTTTTGGAGTCGTTTTGGACTGGGGCTTAGGAACCCCAAACCCTAAGGTGCTGGGCTTCGGGGTCCGGCATTCAGGGCTCCGGCTTTGGGGGCATTTCGATGTCAGGCTGTAGGGTTTAGGGTTTAGGGTTTAGGGTTTAGGGTTAGGGTTTAGGGTTTAGGGTTTAGGGTTTAGGGTTTAGGGTTTAGGGTTTAGGGTTTAGGGTTTAGGGTTTAGGGTTTGGGGTTTGGGGTTTAGGGTTTAGGGTTTAGGGTTTTTCAGTTTAGGGTTTAGGGTTTCGGGCTGAGGTGTACATGGCCCAGCAAAGCAGTTACACAAACAAGCCAGATCGGCCTACAGATCCCCGCGCTTGCCTTGGCGAGAGTCTGGGACTTTCTCCATGGCCGTCTCGTTCGGCTTTACATGCTGGGGCCCTAAACCCACAACCCTAAGTACTGTGGTGGGTTAGAATGAAACACAAGGGGTTGCGAGGTCTGCACTGAGTTTAGGGTTTTAGTGTTTTAGGGTTTTAGGGTTTTAGGGTTTGAGGGTTTGAGGGTTTGAGGGTTTGAGGGTTTGAGGGTTTGAGGGTTTGAGGGTTTGAGGGTTTGAGGGTTTGAGGGTTTGAGGGTTTGAGGGTTTGAGGGTTTTAGGGTTTAGGGCTTGGGGCTTAGGGCTTGGTAATTTACAGCTTTGCGCTGTATGAACCTTTAAACGGTTCCACGTCGGCCTTTTGGGGCCTAGTGGTCCTCGGACAAGTGTCTCCAGGGGGCTTTCAACCTAAACGTCCCATCAACCGGTATGGGGTTTAGGGCTTGGGGTTTTTGGTTTGGGGCTTTAAGTTTAGGGTTTAGGGTTTAGGGTTTAGGGTTTAGGGTTTAGGGCTTAGGGCTTAGGGTTTAGGGTTTAGGGTTTAGGGTTTAGGGTTTAGGGTTTAGGGTTTAGGGTTTAGGGTTTAGGGACAACCCTCAAGCCCACAAATCTAGTGGGAGGAGGGAAGGGGGGAGGGGGGGGGGGGTTGGGGTTGGTCCCTGGATCAATTGAGTGATCATGGAAAAGTGTTCATCTCGCTGCCACCAAAGCCGACCCTGGTTGTGAACAAGGACCGAAGGCCAAGACCTCCCCCAAAACATAAGGATGACCCCCCAGCCAAAACCCCCAGGACACCCCAAAAAGGAACCCTAATCCCCAAACCCTAAATCCCAAACCCTAAACCCCAAACCCTAAACCCTATACCCCAAACCCTAAACCCGAAACCCCAGACCCTGCATCCGAAACCCTAAACCCCAAACCCCAAAACCTAAACCCCAAACCCCAAACCCTAAACCCCAAACCCTAAACTCCAAACCCTAAACCCTGAATCCCCTGCAGGTTCCCTCGCCGTCAACTCCATCACCGAGGATGAGGAGAGCGGCCCCCGGAACAGAATTGCCTCGAAGCTGTAAAGGATTTAGGGTTTAGGGTTTAGGGTTTATGGTTTAGGGTTCAGGGATTCAGCCCCCCTACCCCCTAATATTAAATACCCCCCGTATGCTACAACATAACTAAAATAAGGGCATTTAAGATTCCTGGAATATTAGACGGGTAGGGGGGGATGTCAAAAATAGATTAGGAGGAGGGGATTGGGTCTACTTGGAGGTCTATGGGTACCTTACAAGCCCCCGAAGTTTTCAAGGAGGTTCGAAGTAGGCTGGGAAGTAGGGTTCAGAAAGGACTACAGAGAAGCTTGGGCCTCCCCTCCCTCCTCCCCTTCCTCCCCTTCCTCCCCTCCCTCCCCCCCCTCCCCCTTTCTCCCTCTCTCTCTCTCTCTCTCTCTCTCTCTCTCTCTCTCTCTCTCTCTCTCTCTCTAACCTGTCTCTGCCTCCCCATTGTGGGGGGGGGGGGGTTTGCGAGAAGGGGAACGGTCACCCCCCGCCCCAACCCACCCCCCCACCCTTTCCTCCACTGTGGTGTGGTGGTTGGTTGGTTTTTAGGGTATTGGGGCTTAGGGCTCTAGGCTAGTGATTTCCGGCTTTAGGGCTTCGCGTTGTTTGAGGCTTATGGCTTTTAGGGTTGAGGGTGTTGGGGTTTCGGCGCAAGGGTTTAGGGTCATGGTCCAGGTACTAGGTCCCCGCCCGCCCGTAACTCCTGCGGGTTGAGGGCTCCAGGGTTCTAGGGCTCCAGGGTTCTGGGGTTTCCGGGCTTGATGGGGTTTTTGGGGCTTGCTTGTATCTATGGGTGGTTTCGTGGGCCCTTAACAGGGTCCCGAACTTCCTTTAAAGGGTTCCGATGTATGGGCCGAAAAATGCATAAGTAGGGTATACAAGGGGTAAATAGGGGGTACCCTTTTGAATGGCCCATACTAAGATGTAACTACCCTCAGAGTATAGTCGGGTTGGAGGGCTTAAGTGAAGTAATCCTATCGTGAGACATCGATAGAATTTGGCCCCCTGACCCCTCACACGCCAGGCTTAGAATGCGTCTGGCTCCCCCTTTGAAGATGATGGCTATAGCGGCTGCAAAAGCACTCAGCAAAGAAAAGAGGTCAAAACCCGGATCATCTCCTTCACAGCAGACTCTTGTTTAACTGATCCCAAAACTTTGGGAAACTTGCTGGCTCGCAGTTTGGATTTGCAAAGTGCTTGCAAGTGGGTTTCGGATTAGGGCTTGGAGCGACCCGTTTCCGCAAACCATGGCTAAGTCACCCACACAGTGAACAGACGAAAACGCGAAGAGAGATGATAAAGAGATGAAAAGGACGGGGCCAAGTAAAGATAGTTTCCTGGAAGAGAGTTTAGGAAGCAAAGGCCCTAAGAGGTGCAGCCGCGTCAGGGGGGCAGCCGCAACGAGAGAGGGCTCATGTCTGATGCGATGCAATATACACTACTCTCAGGAAAGGCTGGCACGCATGAAACGACATTTCGAGACGTCTAACCCCTACCACCGTCCCCTAGACAGAGCAACCTGTTGCCGCTTAGTTTCTGCAGCTTCTCTGCTCGCTTCGAAGGCTCCGGGATTCGGATTTAGGTTTAATCTTCCTGGGCCGAGGTCCAGACAATCAACTGTCGTGCTCTCCTGGCCTAAAAGCAGAAGTCTTGTTCAATGAACCATCAACCCTAACACTCCTAGACTCTGAAACCCCAAAAACACCGCAAGGCCCCGACCCCTAAACCCCAAAACCTTAAACCCTTAACCCTCAATTCTCAATCCTCAACCCTAACCTAAAAAACCCTAAACCCTAAACCCTAAACCCTCAACCCCAAACCCCTCAACCAGCCTCTGCCAGCTTCTCCACATCCCGTCGTAGCCCCTGTGGCAAGCTTTGGTGTCGGATCTTGGGGCTTTGAAGTCAGTGGGGTTTAGGGTTTAGGGTTTAGGGTTTAGGGTTTAGAGTTTAGGGTTTAGGGTTTTGGGTTTAGAATTTAGGGTGTAGGGGTCACGGTTTAGGGCTCTGCCACTGGCAGAGTTTGCGCCCTGAACTGGCTCAGGAAGGTCCAGCGGCTCAGGGCTTCAGGACCATCCACACCCTCCGACAACTGAGGTCTTTTAAGGTTTAGGGTTTAGGGTTTAGGGTTTAGGGTTTAGGGGTTAGGGTTTAGGGTTTAGGGTTTAGGGTTTAGGGTTTAGGGTTTAGGGTTTAGAGTTTAGGGTTTCGGGTTTAGGGTTTAGGGTTTAGGGCCTCTCGCTTTTGTGTTTAGGGTTTAGGGCAAGTCCATCTAGGCATGCATGTCGAAGCATGTGGTCGATATCTGTCTGTGCTGAGAAGCCTTACCACTAAACCCTGAACGCCTCGCTCTCGGACATCCCGATCCCCGAACCAAACCGAACTGAGCTTTGAAGACTGCCAAAATGCCCTTGCCTGACCCGACGAGCTAAGAAGTACAGCTGTTTTCTAGATCTGGGAGCTGCGCAGAGCTATGCAGACACGGTGTGTCCTCTTGACCACTGCGAAGATGCTTCCGATGATTGAAACTGCCTGGCAACTCACTTCTCAGGCGATCCTTTCCGGGTGCCAATCGCAATATTCCGTCGTCTTGCATTCTTCCTCCTTCATGTATAGGCAGTGGTAAGCGTACTCTGGGCCATAAGTGTATCTTCCATTCTGCACAATCCAGCAAGACCCAGGAATCACGCGAAGGCCTGCTGGTATCCAATGGCAGTAGGCAGAGGCATCTGAGTGTGCGCAAATTTCCTCTCCAAACATCTTGCAGGCCTTCACATAGGACTCAACAGAGGCGTACTTGGTCTGGACTTCGCAATGCGCGGGACTTTCACTTGACGTCACCTCACTTACTGAGAAGTCTGAGCTCTTTAGTTGGGAGCGATCAGTTGCGGGCTCGTTGCGAAGCGCATGAGCAGCCGCAACCAGCATCAGAAGGACTAGCATGGCACAAGTGTTTCACAGACTACAGCACTCGCGGACAACTGACTTGCTCTTTGGGACTCACGGCTTCGGAGATGTCAACGATTGTGGCACATTGAGATTCTCACACAATCTGCAAGAAACTAGACAGGACGCGATTCGACAATCCAGCTTCTGGGTCAAGGATGATATACTGAGGAAAGAGAAAGAGAGAGAGAGAGAGAGAGACACCGAGCGAGAGCTCATGTCTGATGCGATACAATATACACTACTCTCAGGAAAGGTTGGCACGCATGAAACGACATTTCGCGCCTCGAGGTCCAGACAATGAACTTTCGGGCTCTCCTGGCCTAAAAGCAGAAGTCGTGTTCAAAGAACCTTAAGAACCGAACACCCCTTGACCCTGAACCCCCAAGCCCCCGACCCCTAGACCCTGAACCCTAAACCCTCAAACACCAAACCCAACAACTTTCACAAAATCTTCGCTGGCGTGCAACCGTTGCAGCCGGGTAGGCCTCGTCAGCTATGTCCGCCAAGGCCACTACGTGCAGCAACTGCCTTTCTGTCGTGGCAGTTCAAAAGTTCGTCTAGTGAAAATAAAACCCTAAGCCACGAACCTTTGGGCATTGGCTACTTTTGTAAATGAACCTCAAACATCTCTTGCCTTCATGTAAATCTTGCCAATCCCTTCCAGCATCTCAGACCGTAGAGCTGATTCACGATGAGCATGTTGCACCATGACCGACTTCTTCTATGACTTTATCAGCCTCAAATACAGTAAATCTTATACTTGGAGTATGAATCTCTAGAATATCTTCATGTCGTACATCTCTGAGCCTTGGACAACGACTCTAAACGTATTGTCTCCGACCTTTTGAAGGCTCTCCCATTGTTTCCTTGTACGTTGTTGAATACAGCTTCCATACGTGTTTCTTCTACGTACACACTACACCCGATCCATGAAGTGAAACTCAGTTTCAAAACGCCTCAACCAACCAAAACACCCTGACAACCAACACCCCAACAACCCGAACCCCCCTAAACCCTAAACCCTAAACCCTAAACCCTAAAACCTAAACCCTAAAACCGAAACCCTAAACCCCTAAAGCCGAACCCCAAAATAACCTTCAGCTTCGTCCACAAGCCCTTCCGGGCTCCCAGGCCGGAGCAGGTACTCCTGCGCTGACAGAGCCCTAAACCCTAAACCCTAAACCCTAAACCCTAAACCCTAAACCCTAGTCAAGGCAACACGACAAATGCTAGGGGACTAACGTTTCCTGGCAGGGTTTGGGGGCTTCGGGAAGTCATTTCGGGTGCGGTCTGAAATTGTGGGGGTTTGGGGTGCCCTAAACCCTAAACCCTAAACCCAAAGCCTTAAACCCTAAACCCTAAACCCTAGAGTTTCTAGGGTTTGGGGTTTAGGGCTTGGGGTGTAGGGTTCAGGGTGTGGGTGTTGGGCTGACAGGCTTCGGGGCATCCCATCGGCCGGAGGAGGAGGCTGGAGGCTAGGATTGAGGGCTTAGGGCTTTATAGGGTTTAGGTTTAGGGTTCAGGGCTTAGGGTTTAGGGCTTAAGGGCTTCAGGGCTTAGGGGCCTAGGGGTTATCGGGTTTAGGGTTTAGGGCTTTCTGGGATTTTGATTTTTTAGGATCTAATTGGGGTTGGGAGTTTAGGGTAAACCTCGGGTTGGGGGTCAATAGGTACCCAAAACACGGGCCCAATTGCCGGGAACGTGACTACCGCAAAGGGTGTGCGATGCATTGACAAGCCACTGGGCCACGGCCGATTCCTGCAGATCCCAAACAAAAACCGTGTTTAGGGTTTAGGGTTTAGGGTTTAGGGTTTAGGTTTAGGTTTAGAGTTTAGAATTTAGGGTTTAGGGTTTAGGGTTTAGGGTTTAGGGTTTAGGGTTTAGGGTTTAGGGTTTAGGGTTTAGGGTTTAGGGTTTAGGGTTTAGGGTTTAGGGATCTGACACCGAGTGCTTCCCGGTACACGCCCAGAGCCCGCGCTGGCAAAGTAGCAAGCGCAGTCGTTCCTTGCCAGCTGAGCTGAGAGAGTCTGGCCTGCAAACTGTCGAGGTTCTTGAAGGCCCTAAGCTAAACCCGGCAGCCTGAACTCCAAAATGCTTGTTCGGCCTGGGCCCGAATTCCTCAATCCAAAGACGCCTAGTAATTACCTCACCTTCTCCCCAAAAGCCGCCAAAAGCCAGGGCCCGGAGAATATGGAACCCAAAGCCCGAAACCCCAAAGCGCTCAACTCCCGATACCTAAGGTTGGAACCATGGGGCCTTAGTATGGTCCCTTACCCTTGTCTAAAGGAGTTTAAAGGGATCCGACGGATGGGCAGAGCCTCTAAGCAAACCCTAAACCCTGAACCCCAAACCCTAAACCCTAACCCTAAACCGGTTCATGGCGGGAACCTTAAAAAATCTAGGGAACCTTGAGTTACCATACCCCCCCTTGAAACCCCCGCCCCTTACAGACCCTAGACCCTAAGCCCTAAGCCCTAAGCCCTAAACCCTAAACCCTAAACCCCTTAAAGAACCCTACAATGAATCAAAGGCTTGGGATGGTGAACGCCCTCTCCTGCCACCTCCCAGCACCACCCTTCTCGCAGGCCTCCCAGGAAAAAGGCGGGTTGCAGGGTTTATGGTTTTGGCTTTAGGGTTTGGGGTTTGGGGTTTGGGGTTGAGGGTTTAGGGTTTTGTGGGGGCTTACAGAGGGCTACATTTCCGCGTCGAAGGCTTTTGAAGCGGGGAAGAGCCTGCCTGTGCAGAAATTAAGACCCACCTGTTCAGCCATGAAGAGCCCTATCCCGACAAAACAACTCCTCCAAAAATCCCAAAACCTCCTGATAAGCAAGGATGTGGGGCGTACAACGTCAAACCCCTAAATCCTAATTGTCTAGGGTCCAGTGTTCCTTGAATCCGCAACGAACACACCCTAAACCCTAAATCCTAAACCCTAAACCCTAAACCCTAAACCCTAAACCCTAAACCCTAAACCCTAAACCGCACATGGTTGGCAAGCATCTAAAGCCGAAGGAACGGCACCTGCTCCCGCTGAGGGCCGGGGGATGACTTTCGAGGGTGCAGGGCTCCCCTTGGGCTAAAGGCTTGGGGTTGAGGTTGGGGGGGTTTTGGGGTTTAGGGTTTAGGGTTTAGGGTTTAGGGTTTAGGGTTTAGGGTTTAGGGATTTAGGGTTTAGGGTTTAGGGTTTAGGGTTTAGGGTTTAGGGTTTAGGGTTTAGGGTTTAGGGTTTAGGGTTAGGGTTTAGGGTTTAGGGTTTAGGGTTTAGGGTTTAGGGTTTAGGGCTTAGGGCGTAGGGTTTTAGGCTTGGGGTTGAGGGTTTTGAGTCTGGAGGTTTAGGGTTTAGGGATTTAGGTTTTGCTTCGCCAAGGGTGTTTGTGCATAGAACAGGCTGCCGACGACAAGCAATGCCGCCAGTGAGAAACACAGGTACGAAATAGCACGACCCTGAACCCTAAACCCTAATCCTAAACCCTAAACCCTAAACCCTAAATTCCTGCGCCTCCAGCGCGGCCCAGCTCCGGGCGAGAAGCGAGGCAACGTCCAGGACCTTTGATCAATGGCTTCGGGTTTAGGATTTAGGGTGTCGGGTTGAAGGTTTGGGGTCTACTGGAGAGCTTGAGTATGCGGGACCTATATGTAACTTATTCAATGTCGACTTTTAGGGTCCAGTTCTTAGGGCTTGTGGTCTTCGTCGGCTGAAACAGGCCTTGAGGGCACACCCTCGCGGAGTAGTTAGTTGGCGGGCAAGCCCCTAAACTGACCTGAGCCGAATGCCACCCTCAACCCCAAACCCCTCAACCCCAAACCCCAAACCCCCAAACCACCAACCACATCCCCAAAACCCCAAACCAGACCCCCAAAACCCCAAACCCCAAACCCCCAAACCACATCCCCAAACCCCGAACCACACCCCCAAAACCCCAACCCTAAACCTAAACCCAAACCCCAAACCCCAAACCCTAAACCCCAAACCCTGAACCCCAAACCCTAAACCCCAAACCCTAAACCCCAAACCCTAAACCCCATATCACCAAGCGAAACCCCACATCACCTAAAGCCCCCAAACCTCCTCGCGAGCCGATTCGGGCATGGCCGCCAGGGCCATGCGGGCGAAGAGCAGAGGCCTCGAAGCTTTACTTGCTTGTGGCTTGGAGGGTTCTGGGTTTAGGGTTTAGGGTTTAGGGTCTAGGGTCTAGGGTTTAGGGTTTCAAGGGGTTAGGGTTTAGGGGGTTTAGGGGGTTTAGGGTTAAGGGGTTTAGGGGGATTAGGGGTTTTCTTAGTTTAAGTGGGTTTACGGGGTTTTGGGGGGTTTAGCGGGTTTGCGGTGTTTGGGGGGTTTACGGACTTTACGGGGTTTAGGGGGCTTAGGGGGTTTCGGGGGCTCAGGGGGTTTAGGGGGGTTTTCAGGGCTTTCAGGGGTATTACTAGGGCTTAGGGTCCTAAACTACATCGGATCCCCTCTCCATCCCAGGAGTTGGGGCACAGTAGGTTGACATGTCAACCTGGAAACTTCAGGTAAGGTTTGGGGTTTCGGGGTTCAGGGCTTAGATGTTCGGGTGTAGGGTTTAAGTTTAGGGGTTTAGGGGTTTAGGGGTTTGGGGTTTCGGGTTTCGGGTCAGGGGTTCAGGTTGAGGGTTTAGGGCTGGGGCTTGGCCAACTTTTCTTGACTCCCTACTCAGAGCCAGCAATTCTGGCGTCAGGCTGTGTAGTTTCGGGGGTGTAAGTGATATAGTCCTGGGGTTTCAGGAAAGGTGCTTAGGGCTTCCTTGCGTTTCTGGTCTAGGGCTTCTTAAACCTCTGCACATGTGCCATTAGCTTTGGAGCGTCCAAGACAAAACCCCTCAACTCTAAACCAACCCTCTGAAACTAGGTCGTGTGGTCCGGTGTGGGGTTTCTACCATGCCTTAGTATCATTGTTCTCGTTATTGTTGTTATTGTTATTGTTTATGTGCGATCTCGGACATTTCACGCCCAAACAACACTGAGTCTTCCCG